CGCCCGCGCCCTCGCGCTCGCAAGTGACAATACAGTGCAGTGATAGTGCAGTGACAGTGATACCAGACATGGGCTTCCCCAGTCTATGATCTAAGGGGCTAGTAGTAGAAAAACTGACAAGTCTCGAGTTAATTGAGGTATCTAACAATTGTAAGGGAAATAATTTGTAATTTATATTAACCACTCTAAGCTGCCACAATGACACTAGTGATGTGTGCAGGACATCGCAACATCACAATGATGAGAGATTAAAGGAATAACTTTATCTTTGGATTTGTATAATTTTGTGATATTTTGTGTACCTTTTATGTTGCTTAATCCTGGAGATTATTTTAAGTAATGCATCATAAGCGTTTAAATAAAACAATACATAAAAACGAATGTTTTATTAGTATCTACGAACAGCGCCGTATTTACATTGTGGTTATATTGTTAAAGAAATGTAACAATAACAATATTGCATGCACATTGGATTATTTGCATATAAAATGCGCTTATTACAACATAACATTTCCACTGAACCATTAAATTATCACAACACTATATGGTAATTTAAAAAAAACGCAAGTCAAATGCACCCTTGTATTATTTTTGTAATTATAAGGTTAAAAGGATATAATTTAATGAAAAAAATAAGGGCAATTTAAGACTGGTTACTGTTAATTTAACGATTTAACACAAGATTTTAAGCAATAGCCTATTAAAAGCCGGAACAACTATCATTAACACAAATACAAAAGCGGGAAAATAAAATATGTATTATGTTTCAGAGAAAAACAATTTTACTAGAGAAATAATGTAGCGGATTTAATAAAATTATCAATAGCATTTCAATATAATATCTGACTTCAGTTTTTTTTCAAGATAAATTAATTCCAGTAATATATTTGATAAATGACATTTTATAACAGCATATTCAAATGTTACACTACGATATCCTACACTGTACCTACATCATGAAAAACTTTTTTAGCACCTTATAATAAAGGCATATAATAACAAAAGCATCAAATCCCCACTTTTTAATAATAATATTTAATATTGCTAATCCATTGTCATAGAAATAATAATAAACATTGTACAAGATAATTTTCAAATTTGATCAGATACCCATTAATATTTTCATAGTTTTTCTGCATTTGTTACAATATGCATAAATTACCGATGATTTTCATAATAGATACAAGTTACAAGGAGACAAGTCTTTATCGATAAATATATGTAAAACCACAATATTTAGTGGTAACATTTAATATCTTTACACTGAGTATTGTTAAAGAGGCTATTCTTTAATTAAGCACATATTGAACAATACTTACTATTACAATAAAATTGTGATTAATTTACATCTAGACAGTGTTTTGATTAAACCTTTAATTTGTGTTGCATCAAGAAGGCAAGCGGCGTAGACGTACACACGATATCACAGACTAACGGAAACTATACCTCGGGGAACTTACACTACATTATGGCACTAACACTGGACCACAAAGGAAACGGCCAACTAATAATGCTTATGGACCTGCACTTCGCTGACACACAAAATTTCCATAAAGGCTAAATAACAGTGAAACTGAAATCAACACACTTGTTACATTTCAATGACAATATAATCACATCTACGTCTATGGGCATTTCAACAATATATTCCCGCACTATGACAAAAAAAAAAGAAATAATACTAGATATAACAATTGATATAATTCATTTTGTGTTTGGAGAAAGAGAATGGCAGTAGCACCAGTGGCATGACAGAACGCGCGGCCCCGCGACGCGGGTTCACAACCGAAACTTATTGCTATACTACACCATTGCACTACGCTGGCTGTCCGTGAATTTGCGACTCTCCAATTGAGGCAAAACCAAATTAAACCACATTATTTTTGAGCGAAATAAAGAATCCCATCGCTTTAAAACCTAATTCATTATACTTTTTATTAAAAAATAACGCTTAATTAAATTTGATCAAAATAAAATCATCGAAAATTTTACTAACAAAAAAAAATTCTACATCAAACCTTAGCACACTATCAACTACGGCATACATTCATAGATAAGGAACAATATCATCAATCGATAATTTAAAAATAACGTCCGCCTTCAACACCGAGCACACACAAACACATGTCGATATTGTCTTGTACGGCTACACTACCACTTTTTCATAGCATTGTGATTTTTAAACAACAATTTTTTTTCTGGATTGTATGTTACAGATGGCATTAATTTAATATGAAATCGATAATAACAAAATAATCTGAATTATTTCAAATGTTTAAACAGTATCTCGTATGTTTTGTTCCGTGATGCGCGCGTACGTATTGAGCGAGGCCACGCCCCCGATGACGTCACGCGCGTGGCAACGCTCGGCAACGAGTAGTGGTGAGTTGGTTGTGTGTGCTCGGCTAACTAATGCTAACTGTAG